TACAACTAAAACGTTGCCCACATTTTTTCACTTTAACTGTTTCTGCTTCTCCTTTTTTATGTGTTACTTTGTTGCCAGTGCCTGCCTACAGCACGTTTGGCCACAACAAACACGTACGCGAACGCTCGCCAGGCCGCTGCTTGCGTTAGACGCCTGCGCCGCTTTTGCTGCCTACACACACATACACATACATTTATGTTTCAATTGCTGCTGTTCACTTTGTTTCGTTCATTCATCGTTCAGTTTGCGCCACAATGCCAGCAGCAGAAGTAGCAGCAGCAGCAGCAAGCATGTTGTATTGTTATCTGCGCGCCCGACAGCTGCGTCAACACATTTGCCGTACCTCTATCAAGGGTAAGGGGTGTGAAGGCAGTTCGCAGCCTGCAATAATAATCCGCTCAAGGCTTTTGCGGGATGCGCCTGTGTGTGTGTGAGCAGCAGAAAAACACCAAATATTGCTCGTTTGCTCTTTTACCTGGCTCGCTCTCTCTTGTCATGCGAATAGCATATTGCTCTGCTTTTATTATTTGTCTTACCTCTTTTCGCATATCTAGCGTTTTCTCTTATGCACCGCCAGAGAATGTAAATGAGTAGAGAAGGAGCAAATGTTAGCAGTACTAAAATGTTAATTACGATGGAGGAACATCGAAAACGCGCCAGTTGGAAAATAAAATTTCACCACAACTATCAGGGTACGAAACGAACTACACCACTCTATAAGCAAAATGTATACACATACATATGCACAGATGTTCTTTGATATGCGCATAAACAAAACTTAAAATAATAAAAACGAAAGAAATTGACTTCTGACAGGAAAATATTAATAATCAGGGAAATAATATTAAAATAGAATTCAAATATCATTTCATAAAAAAGGGTTATAAAAATAAAAAATAGTATAATATATAAAAATATGATAGGATTTGAACTTAGGCAAAACATTTCATTGCAATAAGGAAGTGTGCTATACAAGCAACACCACAGATCACATTAGAACATATTTGTCTAATCTGTGAACTCAAACAGCTATTGTTGTTTACTTGCTTCAATGTTTATATGTCTATATGTGAATATTCTTGAAATTGCCTTCCTTCATTCGCATGTCCATATATATTTGCATATATGTACACATATGTACATATGTATGTACCTCAATATGTCTTTCGCAAAAAATCAAACATTCGCGCAAGTGACAAAAAAACGTAGACGCACCATCATCGGCCAATAATATTCAAGCGAACTCGCGGCATATTTTCTTAGTATTTCATATTACAACGACAACAAATTCATTCATAAGGAACGTGCGCTGCTTCAAAGCAAAGTGCGTTCGTTCATAACTCTGCGCCGCGCTATTTTTTCTGTGCGCCTGGTAAACCACATTTGGTTTTCATATAGAATTCCTACCGCAAATGCGCGAAAATAAAAATGAATGAAATTGAATTTGAATGTCTTCAGTAAAATTGAAGAATCAGCAAAATTTAAATTTTACAATTTGTATCACTGAAAATCCTACCATCCCCCTCGCGTTTGTATGTTGCCCACAAGCTGCTTCCTCACAACATTTGCTAAAAATCAGAAATTGAAGAATTTGTCTGATGTTCACTTCAAAAAGGAGAATTGGCAACATGACCTCTTAGCGAGTTTAAATAATATTTATATTTTTGCATATTATGCACTATTTATGGCATTAAATTACAAAATTTATATTAAATTGCCATTCATATGAAATCATTAACTACTTCTATATATTCTAAGCACAGTCCATATAGTACTTTTATATGTTTATTTATTATCATTATTTCATAGTTTGTCGATTTAGCCCATTTATCCAAATACGACGCTATGAAAATGCAGCCCAATCGGTAATCGCAATATTTCAAAAGAGCATAAGTCAATTTTCAACAGCAAAGCCCTGCAAAAAGGACAAACGAGACAACATAGCCGATCGACATTGTCGCAAAATTGTCGATTGAAACAAATTTTGTCAACTCCGCGCCGATGCGCAAAATTTGGCGTCAATATGTATGCGAGCTCGTTTGTATGTATGTATATAAATATGTATGTTTGTCGGCAAAGTCGTCATTTGGTTTTTTCAACAACACAATGTCTGCGCGAACTCGCCGTTATTTCGTTGGCTTGCCACTATACACAGAGGCGTTCTAACTGAGGACTCTTAGTATATTATTATGTTGCTTAATTTGTATTGAAAAATACTGATGCATTTATGAATTATTTTCGTAATATAATATATATAATATATATATATATAAATACACATATATTCATACCTATAATCGTTTTTAAACTAAATTCGATAAATAAAATATATATCTGAAATAATTATGTGGCAGTGCGCCCCAATCCCTCCTTGCCTGCGATCGTTCTACTCGCAAAAAGCAAAAAGTGTGGACAAAAGTCATTGCTTGTGCGGGGCAAGAAGAAGCAAGCATCAGCGTACGTGTACTCATGAATGTATGTGTGATTATCACATTTGTGTAAATACGCATAAATAAAGGAATATGCAATAAACCCAAACATATGAACATATTTTCCTGAAATATTTTAATTATCTCAGGAAGTTAAATATGCTATTAAAGTAATTGAATTATGATATGCTTAGATTCCAATTAATAAAATAAAAATTAAAGAAAATTTCAGTTTCATGAGTTTTACGATTCGAACGTATATGCTCGTATTCGGAATGAGCTTAACTCCTTCGCGCTTACGACCTAAGCCACCACAAAAGTGGAAACGTGGCCGCTTAGCCACCGTTTTATTATTATCATTTGTTTAATAAGTATATTGCTTACGCAACGCACATACATAAGTTAGAAAACTAGCTTATTAAATGTTTATTTTATTATGAATTCTGGGGTTTTTACCGGTAATACAGATTTTTAATTCAAAAGGTTTTTCATAATTATAAATTTGTCATATCATAGAAATTGAAAACATAAATCTAAATAGGTATGCGCAACGATTTTTCATATAGGAATATTCGTTGTGTCTATTTATAGCATTTCGCATATTGTGTGGTGTATTTTTCTTTTTCGAAGTTATACTTTTCGATGTTCCTTCTTGTGGAATTACAAATTAGTACTCAAAAAGTTTTCATTTAACATTTGCTCCTTCTCTACTCTTCAACATTCTCTGGTGATATGTAGTAACATACATACATATACAAATGTATATATGTACACACAAATGTAAATGATAGCATACTTGAACATGGGTACAAAACCACTTATCTGGAGGGTGGTGTTCAGATCAAATGAGACAAACGAACTCAAAGCTTTCAGCACAAATTTCGATTAATATTATCAGAAATTAATAATTTGTGTGACAACAGTAGTCGACTTCATTCACTATGCATTGCAGATTAATTTCTCACAATCAAGTTCTTATACGAAAACCCAATAGCAATTAGCATAACATAGTACCTTAAGTATTTAATTATCTTTGTACGAATTTTGGGTTCAAGACTTCGTCTTTGCTGATTTAGAAATTTCACAACTCCTAACTTTTCATAGAGCGATAATAATTGGGATATATGGAGGTTTATTGGGGAAGCTGAAATGTCTTCTATCCATAAAAATATCCACACAAAAAAAAAAAACGGTAGTCAGGAGTCGATATACAGTGGTGGCAAACGATAATTTTTTATTTAGAAATATCGATAGTGACCCGTAAAACAAATCTTATGAGGTATTGGAGATATTTCTTAATCGGAAAGTCGCCTGTATGAGAGTTCTCATTTATTGTCAATCCATTTGCTAAGGTAATACTAAGAATATGGATATTTAGAATGAATGTGGCATAAAGGTATAAAATAATTAAATCGGCGTTGAATTTTACTGATGCGTTGTACCAGTCGAGCGTCCTTCTTGTTTGCTCTATATATATATGTATATCTGACTAAACTATATGCTGGAAATACCTGGAGTCAAAACTGCATTTAAGAAATCCGTGCGATGATATTGTCCTGTTAGAATGTACATTCCGCAACATTATTTCATCAAAAACGCAGGGAGAATCCTGAATTTTCCCTGTTCGAAATAGAAAATGGCATGAACTTATCTGTGTAATTAATCTTCATGCATGGAAGAATACCTGTAAAGCTTTTATAAGCTTTATGTATATTGGACTATTAATGGACAATTTTTTATAAAGGCGCAATAACTACCCATAAGTTCTTTCAATTCAAATTTTCAACATAACCTTAATTTTAGCCTCATACAATTTTCTTCCAGAATCAATAATTTCGAAAACTGCTTTTTTCAATTAATGTGGGCACTCTTACTTTGTGATTAGGGTACGCACCACCACTCTATAGAAAATTATAATGATACAGATTCAATCCATGCGAGCATATATCGATGACGGAAAGTCTACATATCATATGCCTTAGACATTCGGAAACGACTTAAAGCTTGTATAAGCCGAATGATATCAAAGTAGACAAAACAAAAAATAATAATAATAGAGGAAGCTTATCATGCTAATTATAAACATATATGCATTTTGTTTCCTTCCGTTTCTTTCTTGCTTTATAGAAGCCATTATCGATAGCCAAGAGTTGTGTAGAAACATGTATCGTTTCTTGCTTTCTTTTCAATAAAAATGATCGATAACTCAGCGTTGTAAGCAGGATGAATGATTACGATTTAAACTGATTTATTAGTTAGAATTTTTTTATAGATAAACTGCTTGTTTATTTATTGGTTATGACAATTGAGAGAGCTATGGCAAAAATAATAATAATTTGTTTATATGTGAACGTGATATTAATATTGAATATGTGCTTTACTAGGTAATAAATATATGTTCATTGAAATGTTTAGATACAATTTTAAGCCATTCTTAGTCTCATAACGGCTTGCTAAATCTTGAATCAAAATAAATATAATATGTGTATGTACCTATATATGTATTTGTAAACACACACTTCAAAACTCATTCATACTCGCTCTACGCGTTCGGCAACATTTTTATTTCGGCTACGCCGCACTTCAAACTGCCGCACCAATGACATTTGGCTATGCTCTAACTAATGCAGTGTCTTTCAAACCTCGCTTAGCGACGCATAACACTGCCAGCAATCAAAATCACAAGGTCTGCACTGCGTATTCACAGCACCAAAACGACAAAACAGAGTCAATATGCGTGTTGGCAATGCTGCCACGAACAAATTCATAATCAAAACAAACCGAAACGAGCAGTTCAACTGAAATACCGAAGCAAGACAGAAAGCAACAAAATTAGCCAATTGTTTAATGGCAAGCAGAAAATAGTTTGCAAATGTAAGCGTGTACGGTTGTAATTAAACGTTTCGGTGTGTTAACGAGTTGTGGGAATTTTGAAAATTTAAATAATTTGAAAAAGTGTTAAACTACTTGTGCCAGCAGCAGAGCAACCCAGCGCCGAAATTGACAAATGTCATTCGCTGACTGCTGTCAATGTGACACTAGAGCTTGTTATTGACGATTGTTGATAGTTTTGCTGTTTGCGATGTGCATCGAGAAAATTTGTGCTAATTTTTTCAAGTGGAATTCGTGTTTTGTTTGTGAAAAAGCTCGGCTTGTGCAGTGTGCTAATAGTAGTAGCCGCTGCTAGCTGGTTTATTGCTTAAAGTTTTAGTGTTTGGAAAAATCTCGTGCGTTCATCGGTTTGTTGGCCATGAGCAATCAAAGCCATGTTCGTTTGTGCCGTGCCGTGCAACAACATCCGTGTATTTATGATCACGCCGTGGCCAATTCGGTTTCGCGAGAGGCATACGATCGTGCCTGGCTGAAGATAGCCGAAACGTGCGAGGAGACAGGTGAGTGCCAAAGGAGAGGGTGCACTTCGGCAGTGCGCATAGGGTTGCCTACTACATGCATGTTAGGCAGGGTTGCCTTTCTCAATAAAATAGTTACATTCATAAGGGCTAGAGTAAAAAATTTGGGGATGAGATCGCTAAAAAGGGAGTAACATAAACATTCTAGCAAAAAGCAAAAAGGAATCGCATTCATCTTTATTTCATGCTTTATTAAACATTTATTAGCGAGTTTAAAGAAATTGTATATTCACATTTTGTTACAAATTGGAGGGGTCTATCCTGGGAATGCTCCTTTTATTTTTAAAAATCCCAGATTGGCTTTAACCATTAAGACGTTATTAAAATTTCTTTGAAGTATTATTTATATATGTTCTGTAATAAACGTAATCGATATGTTTTACTTTTTTTAATTTTAGTAATTTCTGTTTCATTAATTCCTAAATTGAAATCATATTCCAAACGATTTTGTCTCAAATACATAAATATCAAGAAAATGTTTAAATTAAAATTTTTAGCATACTTAGAAAAAACAGTTTAAAACCTAACCGATACTAAAAATTATTGTAATCACTTTCCTGGTGCGTTCTATAATGTAGGTCTGTGTATACATATATTTTTTTTTTAAAACTCGAAATGTTTGAAAACACATATAATTTATTGTTATGGCTAAGAATTAAGCTTTATTATAAAGATAACGGGGTGCCGTTGTGTTTAAAAAAAGATATCGGGCAAGTAACTCGAATAAAGGTCCTAGAGGTCCAACTTTCGACCACTTTTTGAAGCAATTGGGGCCGTACGTCAGCAATAATGCGTCGTATATTCTCTTCCAAGACGTTAATCGTGTCGACCTTATTTGCATAGACAAGGGCCTTTATATAATCCCAAAAAAATAGTTCAAACGTGTTAAATCGCACGATCTTTGAGGCCAAAGGCCCATTATGTTCGGCTTCATTTGTGAAGAAATATGCACCAATGATTTCCTCTGCCCATAGAGCACACCCAACAGTGACTTATTGAGAATGTAACGCCGCCTCAACTATGGCTTCTGGATTATTAGCTTCATCGCTGACGATGCGTTTGATGCTTGTTCGGCTTAAATTCTTCCACGAGTTGGATTTTGTAAGCCTGCAAACCAAGATCTTTCCGATAAATATTGTATAAGTCAAGTAACAGCTGTCAAAGAGGCTAACTCATGGCCAATGGTTTGTTCAAAATTGCTATCTTACGCATGGAATCGCATTTTACTTGAAATCGATCTTAATGGATGTCTATCGTTTTGAGAGTGCTTCGATAATTACATAGCCATTTAAAAAGAAATAAAAAATGAAAAATTGTGATTTACTTTTCATATAGTTTCCTGTTAGCTTATTATACTTGATCCAGCGTTGCTCCAACTTCTTTAAATGCGTTTTCTAGAGATCAAAGCATGTTTTTATTCGCTAAATGATTAAATATTTCTACCATTAGAGTAGGCTCGCCAGATGAAGAGCGTTGTCTCGACTATTCCTTGCTCTCTGACGACTACCAGTGGATACGCCAATCACTGCTGTGGAATGGTCTCGCGGTTGCGGTCAAAGGGTTCGTTGAGATGTCAATTGCATTTTAATGCGTGATTTTCCTTGAAAAACAACGATTGTATCATCGACCGATATTGCTCTTTCTATTTTTTTGAAATCTTCGGACATTTCACTGAAATTTTGATTGATAGTGAATTCTTTTTTGATAGTGACGTGGTAAGACTTAGTGATTAATTGCGCTCTCTGGGTTATCAGGGATTAATATAACAAAACTTTCAATAGGTCCATATTTTTAAAATAATTTTACCATCCCAAAACATTTGGTTCACTCTCTTTCCAGTTGACAGCTGCAAGCAACGCTGGCGCGATATACGAGTCACTTTCTCACAATCACGAGTTGTATCACCAAAAAAGCGTAAAGGTAATCGTGTACGAGAGAACAACCTGCACGATTTATTAGAATTTCTCATACCGCATAAAAATGAAGAACAACCGTTTTGCGAAAGTGATGTTGAAGCGGAAGGTATAACAACGCCTGTTGATAGAAACGCTCAAGAAAATGCAGAAGTCACGCCCAAGACTAAAGCGGATGACGGGTTTTTAGAAGAGGTTGTGATCAAACGTGGAAACGAGGAGTTGAAAGTAAAAAATAAGAATGAGGTAGGGCTTAAAATGAGAGAAGAACTGAATATTGAAGATGATACAGTTAGCAAAAGACCACCTTCTGCTAGGCTTAAAGTGTTGAGAAAGAATAGCGAAGAAACTAAAATGGCTGAAGGTAGGCCCATTAGAAAGACACAGTCTTTAGGAAAGCTTGTAAATGCAGAAGAAATTATGAAAGATATTATTGATGCTGGAGTGAGTAAAAAGTTACCGAGCTCAAAGAGTAAAGTCGGCACATTTTACATAAGCCCCACGAACGATGAGTCAGGCACATTTTTTATCAAAAAAACTAGCGTTAGCAATGAACTTGAATACGCGCCAGATAATGAAGCCAATGTGGCAGCTGAAGAGGATGTTTTGAGTGAATTTGAGCATAATGAAATTGAGCAGCCGCAGAGCAAAGTTGATGAGACTGAAAATAACGAACAAAATGATAAACCAAAAGACGAATTTGTTAAAAAACGACAATGTCGTCTCAAGCGCGCTTGCAAACGTGGCATAGGTAAGAAGGTAACCAGCCAGCGGGATTTACGCCAGAAAGATAGTGCAATCAAAAGCATTAAGCGAGGTGCGTCCCGTTTGAAATCACTAGGCGAGGCTACAAACCAATTGGTGGCGGCTGCTAACTTGTCAAAGAAAACAGGGAACACAGCGCCAGTCGACAACCAATCCACAAATTTTTCAGCACAAAAAAGAACACGTACCTTATGTATACCACAGGCTGATAGCCACATTGTAGGCCCTTCACAATCACCAACAACAACACTGATGAAAACGTTGCGAGACGAAAATTCTTTAAGTCCAGCTGAAAAAGTTGTATTGCACGTTACTAATGCTTCACAAGCTTCTATCGACCAAGGCATACAATGTAGTCTGCAGCCAACTTCCAGTGTTGATGATTTCTTCGACACTATAAAACCCTATTTGAACGAAATGAATGCGCGTCAAAAGTTGCATTTCAAGAAGAAAATCTTCGAGTCATTGATGGAAGTTTTCGATAGTCCTGGCGATTTCCCGTCAAACCAGGAAACGAAAGCCATCATACCGAAGCAACTGAGCGCTGTAAGCGGTGGCGAGTTGAATTTGGTGCGTGAGCTGGTCGCTATGGTGCAAGCAGCCAAGCATACGCCAGAGCTCAACTTGAATTTTAGTGATAGTAGTAGCGAGTTGGCACCTAAGACGAGCCCAGAAAAGTGTGCTTTGATTTCGCCAAATGCATCGATGCGTCTTACACCATCACAACCGCCGCCACCACTATCGCTACGTGTATCACCGTTTAATACAACAACTACAAATCAAATGACAAATAAGCCGACGCCTATGTTGCTCACGCGAGCCGGTGAAACTGCAACTTCTACACAAACAACAACCACAACGCCCTCATCAACAGTCTTACAACGTCGTGTCATACGTAAATTGGTTAAGGTAAACGAACATGGCTCTTCAGCTTACAGCATGCCCACCAAAAGTGGAGCTTGTGCACCGAGCAACAGTGAGATCGTGCATCGACGCATTTACCGTATTTACCCCAAAAGTAATGTAACTAGCGCCAGTTTGGAGAACGCCGTGAATGCCAGCGGTGTTGGTACGTTCATTGTGCCGCGCAGCACCGCTGAAACTACAGGCAATAAGGATACCATCAGCAATAAGTTGGTCACTAAGGCTTCATCAACTTTGGTCGCTAATGCAGCAAACAATCAAAAGCTCCGTCAGTTGATGACACCAATTAGGGGTAGCGGTGGCATGTCAGCCGCGACCGCAAGCTCAGCTAATGCAACCGTGAAGACTGATCGCAATCAACAAACAATTCGTGTCGGTGCGCGTCCGCTCATTCGCCGTTATTCAGTTTGTGGCGCCTTACCGAATGATACTGCCAGTAGCAACTATTTAACCACCATTGCCAATACCAAAGAACCGATGTCGACCACACCGAAAATTACTATTGCCCATCGCAGTTCACCTGCCCATGTCGTGAGCAGAGAGGTTTTCAAATTACCCACACCATTTCGTAGCACTATCTCCAGCGTAAACGCTACGGCTTCGACTGTTTCCACTACTACTACTTTGAGAACCTCGCCGGTAGTGAGCGTGCGCGCGGGTGATCGTAATTCGGTTGTGCATGCGGTACCCCTTAATATGGGTTTCAACAAATTCGTGCGTAATGATGAGAAGACACCTCTGCCGACATCCTCTAGCAACACTAAGGTTTGCCGTGACTCTTCAAGCTCTTCACATGTCTGCACGCTTTCGCCATTTTCTACATCTTCTAGTCCCGTTGTTGGCAACAAGCGCCCGCTCACAACGCCTGCTGAATATGGAAAGCGTAATTGCTCTCTTACAGAGCAGCGAAAAGCTTCGGAAGCTGTCGGCGAGGATATGGCGGATATGGGCATCATTGCCCCAGATGATTTTGCCGTATTGAATATTAAAACTGAACCAGCAGATGATGATTGAAGTTTTTCTTACAAACAATTGTTGGATTTTGTTTTAAAAATTTATAATAATTTTTTCATTTATTGATGATTTATATTACAAATGTGAATTAAATTGATTATTACTCCTGGATTATAATAAATTTGAATTGAAAGTAATATTTCATAACATATTCATTTTATGCAATTGCTCGGAACATTTTAGTTGACTGAACTGAGTGGTAAGTTTCTTGCTTCGTCCTTTTATTCGACTGTCAGTTTTATCCGGTAGTGAAACGCCCCTGTTATAATCAGTAACTTAAATGTTAAAAAGCTTTTTAAGGTTTGCCGTTTACAATAAGATCGCATAAAACGATCTCTCTTTTATTCGAGATTTCTTCATGATTACTAAACCATTTTCTTTTCCTTATGTCAACTCAGAAAGTCTCCGATTCGAGTTTTATACATAGCTTGGATGTCTGGATGGAGTTTCTGCGCAAAAGAATTAAGGGAAACTTAATATGCCCTGTTCATGTTACAAAAATACCCATACTGCACTTAAGTAGTAAATAAGAAGAAATAAGATAAACGTTTATGACACATCAAGCATTTATTTCATTGACTAATTGAGCGACTGATTTAGTTCTCAATCGGCATAAATATATAAATGTGGACTAGTTGGCATATAACTACATTAATATGTGTGCGTATGTGCTAGTTCTGACATGCAACCATGCGGCATATCAAGGCCGGGCAATCAGCTGTGCTCGAAGCGTAAATATTGACCACATTAGTTATTTTATGACACCACGACAATACAGGTGAGAACATATGCATAGGTTGCCTTTTACTTTTCGCGATTTAGCTACCCTAATGTCGCAATCTGGCAATTCACATTTTTATCGTAAAGTTTGACGTTTTTGATGTTGTACATACTCAGAACGTTTTGACATACGAGCGCTATTTGTGTTGTTAACAGTAACTTAAAATATTCATCACGGCTAAAAAATGGAATTAAATCGCTCAAAAAAAGCTCGTGTTGTTTAGTCGAGAGAAATGTTAAAAAATACGTTAGCGGTGCTTCGAAACACGTGACAGGTGATGAATCTTCAATTTACGGGTTTGAGTTCAATAGTAAACAGCAGTCGACTGTATGCATGTCTCAAGTTGAGTCGAATCCAATAAAAATTCTTCGCGCACGAAACACTTCCAAACAAATGGTTGCCTGCTTATTTTTTTTTACAAAAACTAGACACTTTGCAACCGTAACACTAGAACAACGCAGAAAAGTAAATTCTGAGTGGTCTACAATCATTCGTTTGCCAGTTGTCTTTCAAAATACTCTTCACCACAACAATGCGAGCTCTCACACATCGGCTGAAACAACTGCATTTTTTTGCACTCAAAACAACTATTTGATAAGTCATCCATGATATATGTTAGTTCTGACTTGGCACCGAATGACTTCTTCTTATTCCCACATGTAAGAAATAAACTAAGCGGTCAACGCTTTTCGACACCTGAAGAGGCGCTCAGAACGCATGTTCTCGAGATAACTCAATCAGAGTGGCAAAATTGCTTCGACAATTGATTCATAGCAAGCAAAAGTATATAGACCTTAATGGAGAATATTTTGGAAAACAATAAAGCAATTTTCGATAATTATTATTGGTTTTTGTTCTTTAATCCCCAAATATAAAAGGCTACCTTCGTATTATACATATATGTAAGTATATAAGTGATGTGCATATATGCATGTATATAATACAACACAGTGCCAATGAATTATGACCGAAATATAATCTTGATTAGCTAGTAGTAAATTATAGTGCCACAAAGTTACCGCCACCGCTTGATGAGTTGGATGGAAAGCGGGTAGCGGAGGGGGGCAGGAATGCCACTAATGTGCAATGTAGTATTGGCGGACAAACGGCGAGCAATAGGAAGTTCTGCAACACATGTGAAACAGGCACCTTTAAATTGTGATTAAGCACGTAAAAGGCTTAGTGTGTGTGTAATGTATAAGTGTTTGGCTATGTATATACTTGCATACATGCCACAAGTGGCAACCTTCGTCGTGTGCGCTGCCATGCGAACTTACCACATTGCAGCTGCATGCCTGTCTGTTAGTACGTACGTCTGGCTGCTTGCCTGATTGTAGACCCATTCGTTAGTTGCATGCCACCAAAAACCTATGCAGTAGTAATGATGATGGTTAATAGTTGTAGTGCGCAACAATTCATATCGTATGACTTTGGGTCATACAAATTAAATGCAATTTTGATTGTTATTGACAGCACAGAGGATGTGGCGCTGTTTGCAAGCATTAAAAATAAAAATGGTAATAAAGGGCGTTGTAAACTCGTCGAAGTTACAGTTTGTAGAGAACAGCTGGTTTTATGGTATTGATCAGTTGTTTCGGCTCGACTAAAGATTAAACGATTGAACTTCGTTTAAAAAAGGCCACTTCGTTTAAAAAAGGAAAGACTACCGGCTCGGTTCCCACGACAGTCGAGTCTAAATAACTGGAACGGTCCGAGATATTTATTCGGCTCAGAACTGTCAATTCGGCAGCATTCATCCAAATTACTTCGGAATTGTTGTCTGCCGCTACGACAACAACAAAAAGGACTATCGGTTGGACGAAGGACTATGGTTCCGCGTGAAAGGAATAAAAGTATTACTAGATTGATGAAAAATATTTCCTGTGTCCATGTTAATGCACAGTCCATCCTTTTCAGGCCTTAAATTTAAAAAAAAAATTTGATAAAACCAAAGCCGAGAGCTCAAAGTTAATGACTACAGATAATGCTAGAGAGTCTACAAAAAGACTTCAAAGCCATCAGGGAGCATATATTTCTTCTCAGAACTTCATGACCGACAAGGAATACTTCTCAAATTGACCATCTGTGCGTTTACAGCTTCATCTTTATAAGACCTAACTGATCCTCGAACTAAAAATAGGCTATAGATATCGATCGATTATTCGGCAAATTCGGCTTCACACATCGAGCGATAACAAGTGCTAAGTTCTTGTGCTAAACCACTAGGTTTCTAAATAATGTGTATTAACAAATCGTACTGCATTGATTTTGGATCTTCTTTTCTTTAAGTGTAATAGCTTTGCTGAGAAAGTATTTAATATGGTTTGGTAGGTTATTGAAAGAAGTGATCTAGTGAGTTATAGAACATCGGCAAAAGATGCTTTCATTTCAGGGACATGCATCTACGTTACTTTTTGCTTCCACAAGATAGGACAACATGCAATCATGGACTCTACGAGGTATAAGCTGTATAAATTATTTAAGAACGTGGTAAATCAAGATCAAGCAACTTGAACCCGCTAAACTTGTAGTATGGTTTTCTGAAGCTTCAAGTCCAATCTATAAGATTACACGGTTTTATCCTCCGAATGTTAAAGCTTACGTGCTTTACAACGCATGTTCGGCAAAGTTCATGTGATACCGTATAGGGTAATTGAACTTATTGGTTTTGTGAAACGAAGATATTGTTTTCAGATCACTTATATATATCATTACACTCCAAAGTCTTAATTATTATTATTGGAGAACTTGTAGAACACAATTGCAGTCGAAAGTTCAACAAGCTTCGAAACATATTCGTCGTTGGGTTTGAACCAAATATATACAAATATAACTGTATATTTTGAAGCCGTAAGTATATCTCCGTAGCGTTTGTTGCATGCTCTCGTGCAATTGACATTCGATCGCTGCAAATATGTCGAATGCACCACCGCCTTTAATCAAGGTTAAACACAAAAACAACAGCAATAATGGTAACAACTTTTTTGCTAAGTCGTGGCTCTATTCGTGAATTGCGTGTATGTTGTACGAGTACGTCAGTATGTCTGCAGTTGGGTTCGCGTTAATTGGCGTCGGGTTAGTTGGTTGTTGGTTTTTGCGCGCTTGGCTTATTGGTCAATCGTTTCAGCGGTTGATTGGCTGCCAGTGTATCAAAACGCCGACGCTTTATGTATTGTGTAGTCACTTGTCAAACTTAAGTCGGTACAGTAGAAACTATTTAAAGTGGTTCTAAAAAAGAATTTCAGTATTTATTAGCGAGTTCTTTCCATAATTTTAATAAAGATCTGTCTGTTGATAATACCCATAGTTATTTGGGGGACTTGACAAGGGCTGAGGTATACTTTTTATAATTGAGCGATTTTTGTTTTGTCGTTAATAAAAGAATACGTAACAGTACAGTTATAGTGGGCCTTGACCAGTAGTTATTTTTTCAAGATATATGTATATAGTGATATACTATATATAGTGGTATCTATACCGATAGAAACATAAAACTTCAAATACGTCTTTAACCTAACTATCCTCCTTGCACCATTTGGACTACAAGCTTGGAAGCTATCGTTAACCTCCTAAAATCCTGAAAAAAATTCCCATTTGTGTAGGCTTCACTGTAGTTGCAGCGTGTGTGTTTGCTTATCGTGCAGCAACATGTCACATTTGCTGCACTTGCCACATTTGTCATATTTGTCCATCGATGCAACTGATTGTGAGTGCAACACAAGTAAAAATTATCAATTGACAGCATGGTTGCGTAGTGTACATGCAACGTATTGCAAACAAAAAAAGGAAAAAAAACTGGGTTAAGCACTCACCCGCTAGCGAAACTTATTGGTTACTCGCACCTTAAATGGTTTTCGCTACAATGTACAGTTAGCATTTGCAACTACAAATGGCATTTCCTGTGCGCGCGTGTTCTAATTAAAATAAGCAACAACATGGAGCTGGATTTTATTTCTAAAATGATTTTGTTTTTGTTGTCGGTATAGTATGTTGTTGTGTCTCACTTCTACGAAACGTTTAAATAAATTTGCTCTTTTTTATTCGAGAGCAGACGCTCTGCTGTCGATTGATGGTCAGCTGAGTAGGATAGACTACTACCATAACGGTTTAGATACCCATTTTTGACTGACTTGGAGGCGTAGATAAACCGGCCCATACATCACATATGTATGATCTCCTAGTTGCTCTATATTTATAATGAAAATCAGTCATGCGGTAGGAGTCGTTAGTTGTTGGTCAAGAAAATACTAGTAACTGCAAGATAAATTAATGTTAATAATTTTTTTTAGGCTTGCCAAGAAATACTTTTTTAATATACAATTTTGCTTGTCTGCTTATGATAGGTGCCTTAAGATA